AAATATATTAATAATAAAGAGGTTGCCTGAGGTAAACACAGGCCATGATAAAGAAAAAGAGCAATTAGCAAATAAATATAGAGAACAAAGAAGATACAACACAGGGATAACTGGTAGCCTTGAAATTGAGAACCCTATAAAGATAAAAAAATATGCTCAAAGATACAATTAAGACAATTCTACTAAACAGAATCTAAGGCTAAAAAATACACATTTTGGGGGGGATGGATAACACAGAATTATTGGCACCAACCCATTTTTTGTAATTAAATTACTAAGCTTCAAAGATGAAGAATTTTTCTGTCATCTAAGTAGTATAAAGGGGAAGTGAGTGAATTTCAAAAGGTATTTGATGCCAGAGGGCAGTTGAGTAATGTCTATAAAGTTCTGAGAAATAAAAAGGTGACCCAAGAATGTTAAACCCAGCCAGCCTGTAATTCCAGTGGAAATAATAAACAAGTACTCTCTAGGATTAAAAACTCAGAAATTTCACAGCCTGTGAGACTACAATTTGAACATCAATTTGATAATGAAATTCAGCCAACAAAGATCTGAATCAAAATAAAATATTCATGAATACAGAGCATGGCAAAATGATTGGTGGTGAATGCCGAAATCCTTTAAACACAGAGCTAAGACTACACAACTGTGAAAATTATGGTTATAGCAGATACTGTTAATGAAATAAACTTTGACTATATAAAAATAACAATTAAGAAAAATTTAGAAAGGAGAGAGTAGTAGAAGTATATATAACTACTCATTTCTTCATCTTTACAGCCATGAACAATCTGATGCATTAGAATGTGAAATATTTATGTGAAGGGAAAAAAACCCAACAATTTCAATCTCTTAACATTTTTTGGTAGTAATGTTTCTTAACCGTAGAACAATTTTTTTTTTTTTTCAGTACCAGGGATCGAACTCGGGTCCTTGCGCTTGCGCAGCAGGCGGTGAAACCACTGAGCTACATCCCTGGCCCCGTAGAACAATTTTTTAAGAAAATTATCTCTCAGGCCAGGGATGTAGCTCAGTGGTGCTGCCGCCTGCCATCCAAGCGAAAGGTCCTGAGTTTGATCCCTGGTACCAGAAAAAAAAAAGGAAAATTATCTCTCTTGCATTAATCTGGAGTTCAGAAAGTTCTTTACTTCACTTTTAGTGTTTCATTTATTAAGTCTCGGTAAGGGAAAATTTTAAACATTTAATTAAAAAGCACATAGGGGCTGAAGATAGCTCAGTGGTAGAGTGCTTTCCTAGTACAAACGAGGCCCTGGGTTCAATCCCCAGCACCTCCCCTCCCCCAAATATCCATAGTATAGTCCTATTTTTATGATATTATGTCTGTCTAATGACCTCTATGTATGTACACACATACCATACATACAGATAGCTGTATATAGCTGTATAACATATAAAAAATGTGATTTCTGGAATGATATTTTCACATAATATTAATTAAAAGTAGCTCTGAGTGATGGGACTTTGAATTATATTTTAAATTCTTCTTTGTACTTTTCTGTATTGCTTGACATTGGGCAGGGGCAGTGGTGGATATTGAACCCAAACCTCACACATGTTTTAAGCAAGCATTCTACAACTGAGCCACAGCTTCAATTCTTTTAAGATTTTTTGAGGCACAGTCTTGCTAAGTTGTCCAGGCTGGCCTTGAGCTTGTGATCTTCCTGCTTCAGCCTCCAGAGTACCTAGGGAATACAGGTAACCACCATTAAACTCAGCCTGCTTGAACTCTTGTAGAGTATATAGCAGTTGAAAAACCAATAATTTCCAGTGCTGGGTGTGGTGGAACACACCTTTAATTCCCGCACCCAGGAGGCTGAGACAGGAGAATTGCTGCGAGTTCAAAGCGAGCCTGGGCTACATAGTGAGTTCAAGGCCAGCCTGAACTACATAGAGAAACCCTGTTTCAAAAATCAAAACAAAACAAAATTCCAAATTTAATACAAATCTACAATAACTAAGTATTCTGGTACTAGCATAAGGATAGAAATAGTAATCAATATAAGTGAGAGTACAGAAAAAAATTCTTACATTAATAGTCAACTGGTTTTGGCAAAGATGCTAACTCAATTTAATAAAGAAAAAGAATAGCCTTTTAATGAAATAGTTATGGAACAACTAGATATTCACATCCGAAAGAATGAAGTTGAACTAACCATCTTCACACAATATATAAAAATGTATACATAATAGAGACCTAATATAAGAGCTAAAACTATGAAACTTTGACAAAAACACAGGAGTAAATGTTCACAAACCTTCATGAAGCAGTGGGTTCTTAGATATGACACATTTCAAGCACAAGTAATCAAAGAGAAAAGAGAGAAATTGGATTTGTCACAATTTAAAACTCTTGTGCTATAAAGAGCACTATTGAGAAAGTGAAAGGACAATGCATAAAATGAGAGAAAATATTTGCAAATCATGCATCTGACAAGGGACTTATATCCAGAATATATGAAGTATTCTTATAAATCATTAATAAAAGACAACCCAAATAAGAAATGGGCAAAGAATCTGAACAGACATTTCTCTATAGGAGCTATAATACAAATGGCCAAAAACTACATTAAAAAATGCTCAACATAGCTGGGAGTGGTGGCAAATGACGGCAATTCCAGCACTCTAGGAGGCTGAGATAGAAGAATCACAAGTTTGAGTCCAGCCTGGGCAATTTAGCAAGACCTTGTCTCAAAAGCCTGCAAATGTAGCTCAGTGGGAAGGCCCTGGGTTTGACCCTCAGTATCTTCTACCCTCAGCCCCCCAAAATAAGGAGAGAGAGCGAGAAAAAAAGCTCAACATCATTAGCTATCAGAGAAATGAAAATCCAAACCATCATGAGCTATAATTTTACACCCACTAGGAGGGCTGTTTGGCTGGGGAAGACCTCAGAATACAACAAATGTTGAAAAGTATTGGGGAAATGGAAACCTTTCTGAATTGCTGCTATGAATTTGAAATGGTATGGCAACTATGGGAAACAGGATAGCAGTTCCTCAAAAACTTGAAGAGAGAAGTATATAATCTAGTGATTCCACATCTGGGTATAAGCCCAAAAGTACTGAAAGCAGAGACTCATTCAGATTATTTGTAACTAATGTTCATAGCAGCAATATTCATGATTGCAAAAAGATGGAAATAAACCAAATCTCATGGACAGATGAATAGTTAAACAAAATGTTATTCATACATGCAATGGAATATTTATTCAGCATCAGAAAAGAGGAAAATTCTGATTGCCACAACTTGGATGACCCTGGAAGACACAAATGGTGAGGGAAGCTAGACACAAAAGGCCAAACATTGTATGGTGGTTCTATTTACGTGAGGTACTTATAGTAGCCAAATTCATAGAAACAGAAAGTAGAACAGAGGCTGGGGATCGGGGCGTGAAGAAGAATGGGGAATAATTGTTTAATGGGTTCAGAGTTTCAGTTTGGGAAGATGAAAAGTTCTGGAGATGGATGATGGTGATGATTGCATAAAAAATGTGAATGGACTTAATCCTATTGAACTGTACACTTAAAAATGACTAAAATGGTATGTTTTATGTTATGTATATGTTACCACAATTAACAAAACTAAAAGAAAGAATGCTACTTAGGAGGCCGAGGACTCCTAAGACAACTTGAGCCCAAGGGTTTGACACCAGACAAGAGGATCACTTAAGCCCAGGAGACTGAGACCAGAGTGGGGCACATAGGGAGTCCCAGACTCAAAAAACAAATAAACAAAAAGGAATGAAGTACCGATGCATGCTACATGAACTGTGAAAGAATGTTATGTGAAAGTCAGACACAAAATGTCATATATTATGATTCTTTTCTATGAAATGTCCAGAATAGACAAATCTACAGAGATAGGAAGTAGATTTGTGGTTGCCTAGGAATAAAGCAGAGGGGAGAGTGACTGCTGATGATTTCTTTTGGAGTTGATAAAAATGTTCTAAAATTAGATAATATTGATGATTGTGCAACTTGTGAATGTACTAAAAACCATGAGCCTGTATATCTTAAAGAGTGAACTTTATCTCAATAAAGTGGTTGTAGAAAAACAACAAAGTTATTCAAGAGATAAAGAAAAGCTGAAGTATTTAGTATTCCCTCCGTATGTGTTCAGATTATACATGCACGTCCTTTACATCTAACTGTGAAATATGTGACTTATAACTGTGTATGAACATAATAATTAAGTATCAAAAATACTCTTTGGTCAAATCTCTGCAAAGGATGCACCACCTATCCTCTCTCTGAGCTCTGTTTTTGGAGCCTCTCGCTCTTTGTTAGCCTTCTTGCCGTGTGCTGCTTGACTCTACACTCATATGAGCTGACAGGTTTTCTCTTACAGCTGCGGCCAGACTATCTGAATATTTCAGTGTATCTTGTTATTAGTGCATTTATCTATCTTTATGGCATACCTACTGTGCGCCAGCCATGTACTAAAGACTGGTGAAATAAAAAGCATCCCTGACCTTCTTGAGGTTATATATAGAGTGGAAGAGATAGAAAAGAAACATATAGCCTACAACTGAAAATATAATTACAGAAAATGGCAATGATACTGAATGCAATGAAAAGGGCAAAGGGGCAGAGAGGAAGAGGCTGGTGCTTATCTTCAACTAGGCTGATTCTGAGGTTGTAGCACAAAACAGAGACTAAAGGGTAAGAAGCACACAATCTTGCAAAGATGATCGCAGGTAGAGGGAAGAGCAGTATAGTTTTGGTTTTAGTTAAGGTCACTTGAGTACAATTATTTGCATCACTGTGTACAAGACAGCTCTGGGTAACAGCTTGTCCCCAAACAACAGGGAGCTCACCCTCCCCCTAAAACAACACTCTCTTCGTGTTCACTTCATTAACTATTTTTCTCATTGCATGAAACGGAAAAATTTTTTCCTGTTTTTAATACTGAGATAATCTAATCCCCACATGACACAACCCCTCCAAGTATACAGCATGAACTTGTGAGGACCCATAAGTTACCTGGGAAAGAATCAACTGTCCATGAAACTTGTGCACAAATTTTCTTAAAAATGAAAAATAGGTTTTATCCCCAAGTCTTCTGGCAAGGAACCGAAGGAGGAAGTAGCCCTGGAAGAAAAAGAGAGAGAGATGCCCACTGTGGGTTCATCACAGAAGTGTAAAAATATTTGCACACTCCAACTTGCCCACTGTGCACAGGGCACAGCTCACAAGCGCCACCTCACCTGTCCTAGGCTGCCCTTTGCATTTTGACCAGAAAGCCCACAGTACGAATTAAGGAGGAACTACAGAGCCTCCAATTCCTTTGGTAATGTCATCACCAACTCTGTTTTGACTTGGTGCAGCTTGGACAGCCATTGGGAACCAAAAGAGAAGGGAGGGCAGCTCTTCTCTGCATCAGCTTCCAGGAATAGCCTTGCTTTATTACTCCATCTTCCCACTGGACCTGAGAGCAATTTGCAGGTTCTGCTCTTCAAAGCTGGCCCACATGGGACAGGAAGAAGGCAGGGATGCCTCAGCTTCCTTTGACTCAAGCCTTCCTAATGTGGCCCCATGTGGGGACAGGAAGTGCTTTACTGAGTGCACTCTCTGATTCTACCCAGACATCACTGCAATGTGGATGGTCTTTCTGCTCTGCTTCAGCCATGTTACTAATCTTCATCATTTAATTGTATAACCTAAAATATGCTGCACTGTCACGAGTGCCTCCTGCCACTAGATCCTTTTACCTTTAAATAATGAACTTGCATGAAATTCTTCTCTGGATTGAGTCCATGTTTGACGACAGATGCTCCCGAGTCACTCACATGGCCAGTTTTCTCTTTACTGGGTCTGAAATGAAGCAGCATCAGTTTCTTTAAGTATAGCGCATTCATCTTAATTCAGTAGTACCAAGTATAATTTAAAATAGTTTACATTATTAACACATATACTGAACAAGGAGGGATTTGTGTTTAGTTAGGTTGGTAACCTGAGGTTAGCTACTGGCAATCTTTTACATCCCATTAGACCCTTAAGGAATCTAAGCTCCAGTATGAATTATTGAAAAACCTACACATTTATTTGGTGGGAATGATAGATTGGGAAATGCAATGAAAATGTAGCTTTACTTGGAAGGATAAGGAATTTATATATTCTTAAATTTTTTTTGAAAGCTTCAATGTTATCCACTTCTCTGGATTTACATTTACTAATTAAGACTCCTTTAATAAATTTATATTTTAAACCCATTTTACAATTATGAAAACAAAAAAAAGGTCACAGGGACTCTGGTGTTTAGAACAGGTGGGGACACTAGCAATTGCACACTTCAACTTTCTCATTTTGCAAATGAGGGAAAGTGAGACCATAGCAGTTAGGTCTACTCCAGATCTTACCATTTCTTGGATTTATGGATTTGTGGTTAATACTAGGAATAAAACCAGTATCTCTCTATCTTTCAGCCAGGTCTTTTCCAATATGCTCTTGGTTTTAAGTAGTAAAAATTCCTTTATTAAAGTGTAACAGATCCTTTGAGCCGCCTAGTAAACGTGTGTACTCTGTTATAGTGAAGCTGTAACAACCAGCTAAAATCAAAATACGTGGCAAAGTCCTTGCAGCTCTCAGCTGTTCTAAAATTAGTTGTTGGACAAGCATCGGAGAGAGGGTATCATGGCCAGGAACAGGAAGAAATGACAAGAAAGTTGGCATATCAGAAAGGTGGGGCATGCCTGGGCATGCTGGATCATGGCTGTAATCCCAGCATTTGAGAGGCCGAGGCAAGTGGACTACAGGTTTGAGACGATTCTGGATAATTTAGCAAGACCCTGTCTCAAGAAAAAAAATGGTGGGAATTTATTTTAAAAAGGTAGGATATTGTAGTACAAGGCCTTTGGAATCTGAGAGACTATTTTGGATATAAGTCTTCTTACTACCTGTTACTTACTAGCAGGTTACTTAAATTCTCTAACCCTCATTTTACTCACTATTAAAATGGGAATAATCCTACCTACATTCCTAGGTCCTGAGGATAACAAGTGAAATAATATATTGCAAGCCCCCCAGCAAGGGCAAAGGATATAGAAATTACTCAATAAATCTAATAAAATATTCAACTGCACAAAGAATCCTTGATTATGTCTTAGCCAAATACTCTACTACTTAATCCTAGCAGACTCCAGGCTAAGAACCAGCACTATCTAAAAGGAAGATGACGACAACCAACCATAGAGCTGACTACATAGTTTCAATTTTTTTACTTGATCCCTGACTTACCTACATGACCACACTTGTAGGAATAATGAGGCCGCTCATCTTCATCTAAGACTCTACAGAAATGCATCAGCTCTTTCCCCTGCTCTCAAGCCTTCCTGGGGTGGAGTGTTTTTACAACATGTGCCCCAGCTTTGATAGGAGAACCCCACAAGCCACAGTCTTGGGGGAAAGATGGTTTCTTAGGAGTCAATCTGAATTCAGATTAGGTTGTCCAGCCCCAAAGCAGGCAGAGCTTCGGGCAGTTTTTAGTGCCCTTGAGCTTTGAATTGAAACTCCAGGAAGGGGAGGAACACAAAACAACTAGAAACCCTGCTCAGAAGGCTGGCTTCCAGGCTCCACTTCCAAATGAGGCCCTTAGCAGCTGTTTCTTCCTTTGCCTAAAAATCTCCTTCCTGAACATATCCCTCTCCTACTCTCTTCTTCCACCTTCTCCAAGTGAAGATGTACTCAAGAAAATTCTTTAATACTGAGAGTATCCAAGGCAAACACACAAATGCCCCGAAGATTCCTTTTAAAGCAGACTTAGAGCTAGAGATTGCAGTGTACAAGACAGGCTCTGTGAGAAACCAAAGAGGGTGGTTTTGGGAGGAAGAGACCCTATAGGAGTGGATGCTACTTATCTCAGGTCAGTGCAGAGAGACAACGGATGGGAGAAAGCAGGAGATAAATGAAGTCAGTACTGTCCCACAAAATAATAAAGATGAGTCTCACAGCTGAGGAAAAGAAGTCAGACCCACAAAGCGCACATTCAGATGTATGATTCCATTTCGATGAAGTCCAAGAATGGGCAAAACTGATCTATGGTGACAGAGAGCAGAACAATGGTTGCCTTTGAGGAGCACTGCCAGACAGGAGAAGAGGGAAGTCTCTAGGATGCTGGGAGTGGTCTCTACAGGGCTCTGTGTGCTTTGATGGAGATAAATAGTTAAAGACTTGTGCATTCCAGTGTATGTGAAGAAAAAAGAGAAAGAGAAGTGGTGCACATAAAACAGTACATATCTTGTGCAAATAAAGGAGACTCAGGCCGGAGAGTTAGCTCAGTGGCACCACGTTGGCCTGGCAAGTGCAAGGTCCCGAGTTCGATTCCCAGTACCAAAAAAAAAAGAAACGCAATCTATAAAAAGGACTTTGCTGCCCTTGTGCCAGGAACACAGGACTAAGATTAATTCACCCATCTGTGGACCAATGAAATATTTTTTTAATTACAATGTGAGAAGAGGTAGGACTGTGGCATGTCCAATTAGTTTAATCTACTCCATTCTCATTGGGCTTTTTTCATGTAACTTACATAGTTATATGTAAATCTGAAAAAGCTAAATGCTCATTTTTCCAAGTGTTTCCTTGCAGCTCTGGATGGCCAGAAGACTTAATCTAGGCTAAGGAGACAAGCGTAGGTATCTGCTGTGGTTGAGAGTAGGATTTGAGAGAGTTTTTGCTTGTTTTACAAAAGACAAATCTACTTTTGTACCTTATTCCTCTAAATATGATGGATGGAGCCACCCTGTGACCACAAGGCAGCAAACCAATACGCTATAGAAGGTAGAAGGGATGAAAGAAGGTAAACAGTCTTTGATGGCATCATTCAGCTCCGGGACTGCCTCCCTTCTGACTTTCTATTTATAAGAAAAACACATACCATTTGCTTAAGTCAACATTGCTTTGCCATTTTATTATTGTAATCAGACTCACTCCTGATGGCTCCAGAATTGGACTGGTTCAGTAGACCTAACATTTCTTGGTTAGTTTCCATTCCAGATACTCTGCCAAGTTCTTCGTATGCACCATGTCCTCCTCCTTCACAAGAACTAGATGCAGCAAGAATTGTGACTCTCCCCATTTAAAAGCTAGAGAAGATCACAAAACTGATCAGCAGCAGAGTGTCCAGGTTGGAACCCCATTCCATGAAACACAAAAGTCTTAGTCTTTGCTCTGCTCTGGGGCCTCCCCAAGATCCAGACCCTTGTTTTGGCCATGCCAACACTAAGTGGAGCACCTCACACAACTTGATTATTTTCTCTGGAGCTCAGTTTCCTCACCTGTAAAGTCTGCCATGAGGCTTAGATTAACATGAAAGCACTTTGTAAATGCCAAAGTGCTAATCACCTCTTAGGCATTAGACTCCAGCATTTAGTCTTTGGCTGCAATACATGGAATATGAGAGATCAGGTTACTCAGGTCCTTTGGGCTCAAATGTTCTTGCTTCCTGTTGTATCTGGCAGCAAATGCAACACTGAGACAGACATGACCTTTCTTTCCCCGCATCCCTTCCTTTTCCATTGCACTCATAGAAGCCACTGGTTATTTAAAGAGCGGGCAGGTGGCAGTGATAATTGATACACAGTGACTTAATTTGAAATCAAGCCTCTGAAGAAATGACCAATCCTACAGTACTCTGACCCAGGGTGGGATTTGGGAAAATGGTTCTGAAGGGTGCTTAGCATGGCATCTGGGTCTGAAAACCTACAACACAGCCCTTCGAAGACAGGCCGTCTGCCAACACACCCATCTCACACTTCTTGGCATCAGTGTGAGAACCATGAGACTTCTGTGTTGATAAACTTGCTACTACCATGTGTGGGCCAGGGACTAAGCATCAGAGAAAGGAGACAGAAGAGGACTAATCAGCATTTCAATATCCCTCTCTCTCTGTCTGTCAGTAGCTGCCCCAAGAGGGAGCAGAGCCTCCCTCACCCACAATGGAGGGAGAGAAATACTACCTGTGTAGAAGCTGGCCTCATGGTACCTCATCTGAGCTGTGAATACACACTGAGACCTACCGGAGAAGCAGCAGAACGCAGTGCTTCAGACCCTGGGTACAAATCTTGATTCTGCCATAGTGTGTACCCCATGAACCCCAGTTCCCAGGGGACAATGAGTTACTCTGGCATTTCAATGGGTTGTAGTATCTTTCCAGAGATCCTGCTGGCAGTTAGTAAACAAGATATAAATGCTGCTGTGATCATGATTATGCACTCTGGCTGGGGTCCAGGGAACATCAGCTAAACCTTCCTCGGACAGGAAAAGACCTTGGGAAGACTGTTCATGAGATGCTGTCCCCGGAACAAGCTGGGGGTAGGGTAACAGGAACTTACTCTCCTACTATGGTAACTTCTTGGGAGTCAAAAATTATTACAAAAAAAATGTTTTTTAAAAAGACACAGCACACAAATATGGCCTTATACCTTCCCTTCTGGGGACAAACCCTTTAAGGGTTGATCTTTAGGCTTGTTCCTTGACTGCTTATCATCAGAAAGCAAAAAAGATGCAACAGATTCCAAATGTGCTTAAAGTTCTCATAAGTTCCATGTTGGCGTGTTCCTTCCACACTCATCCCACTCGGCCTACACTAAAGAGATTACTAAAACTTGAGGAGGCAGAATGATTGAAAATGGAGAAATTTTTCACTCTTCATTTGTTTTTTACAACAATTTCTTCATCTATAAAATGCACATAGTAAACACTTGCCACCAATCATCACTTGCAGTGCTAGCAAAAGAAACTGGACAAAAGGTTGTGGACACCTCTAAGGATTTGTATCATATCAAAGCTACTGGTCTTTGGTGAGTTTGGCTGTCTGT